GAATATATTAATAATACTTACAAAACGTTCATAAATCGGATACATTTAGCTACTTATTATATACGTAGATATAGGTTTTATGGTTGAGTTTAAAACTTGAAATTCTTGAAATTTATATTCAAATTTTACCCTTAAATTATTTCAGATAAAATTAAACTATTTATTAAAAAAAACTATTTAATGGTCTGGTGGTTTTGAGTAAATTTTGATAAAATACTATTATAAAATTAGACGTAAAACAATTTAATTTAAATATAATTTTAAAAATTGCGTCTAAGTTAGCTAATAACAGAATAATTTACGTTTTTGTTGCTATTATTATTGTTTTAACTGAAATGTATAAAATTCACAGTTTCAAAATCTTGATTTTAATAATATAAAAATAAATTTGTAGTAAGGAATAGTGTCATATTGTAGATGATACGTTTCAATGAAATATTGGATTGCCAATAAACCAATAATAAGCTGGTAAAAATAAAGCAAGATCAGAATTTTAATCTGAAATTATTCATAAATACTTACCTGCCTAGAATAGTATCCTTTTTTTATTTTAGACCATTTCTACCCTGCAGGTTCAAAGAGGGCCCTTTTTATCCCATGCCCATCATGAATTCAGTCAGGCTCACAATGGGGGTGCTCAGGTGGTAAAGAATGGGACTCAACATATCCGAGACAGACCGTCCACGAAAAACTCTGGAGGTTTCTTGCTCGGATTTAATTCTTGGTCCCTGATAATAGCAAGCTGCCTTTACCACCATCGGTTGTCTATAAATGTATAAATATCAAATTGCTTCGAAATCTGAACTTTACAACATAAGCTTTTCTGGAACATTTAGCTAAAATTTAAAACAAAAAAAAAACTAACTAAATGATCAAACTTTTTCAAATTTAATGTAATACTTTTCGGTAATATTTCCTTTGTATATAGATACAATGTTAAATTATTTTGTATTTTAAGTACCATGGTAGTCCTTTCATTTGAATATGTAATTTTAACTTCATGCCCAAACAAAAAATTCTGTAAATCTATTACAAAATACTGAACATCTCAAATTGAGTAGGTATTTATTTTTTATTTATTGATTCTTTGTATTGAAAAGTTTTCTGAAAATATTCACTGTGTAATATTCACTTTATTGTACCGTAATCATTTGCAATTCCTATAAAATTTAGAATACTTGAAAATAGCAAAGGTTCGGTTTCTTGATTAATTTCGAAAGTACAATTGTCTAACTCAACGGTAACGCTATATTTCAATTAGGAACAATGAATTTCTGTTATTTGCAGAGTGATTCTCGTTGTTCGCATTGAAGTCAGTTAAACTATGATAAGTGTTTTAAGCTAATATTACACGCCTTTAATTCATTTTGTATAGTAAAAAAATATGTTAAAATAAAATCAAATTAATTGCACTATATCAACACTAAACAAAATGAAGATAAACAGGAAAAGTCGAAATCTTCGCCTACGCTTCATCTATAGAATTTTTATTTTTAAGTCGAGAAAGTCATTCTCTAATTTGTTATATCACAAATATAAGAAAAAGAAATATTAATTGTTATGAAGAAAGGCATTTACAAACTTGTATTACTATTGATTTTCAAATGTAATATAAATCCTTATAAATATCTTTTTTGTGATGATAATCGCATAAGTAATTAAATTATAGCATTACCAATTATGCATTTAATTGCTGATATTATTTTGCGATAAAAAGAATAATGTATCGAGCATATTTTAATTTTTAATATAACATATGTTAATCATGGCAAAAATATTTTAATTATAGACAACAACAAAAAATTACGTTCAAAAGTTTCCAGCGACTCTCTGCCGTAAAATGAAATTAAATAGTTACACTTCAATGATTTTATTTCCTACTCTGACGTTTTTTTCTTTATTTTTTGCATAGAAGTATGAATATTTTATATAAAAAAAATATAAAAATATGTTATTTTAAAGAAAGATCGGATAATTTTCTTAACTGCTTTCTTAAAAAATCAAATAGCAAGAGATTTAAATTTATTTTCAGAAAAATTTATCTTATTAAATAGTGTATTGTTTGCTATTTTATATAAAAAATTTTATAAATAAAAACACAATATAAAATTCAGATATCGGATAAATTATTTGATATTTTTAGATATAAATTTTTTATATGAATATGTACTGTACAGTCCTTAGCACTTTAACAAATGTTCTTTTCCTCTTAGTCTGTACTAAGAGACTAAGAGGAAAAGAACATTTGTTTGTACTAAGAGACTTATAAAAAATAAATTATTTATTATATTCTTTTCCTGTACTGAGGAAAAGAATATAATAAATAATTTATTTTTATAAGCTAATGGGATTGAGTAGCTGATTTCGATTAATTGGTCGTTTAAAAACGGAACATAAAAGTAAAAGAAAAAAAATGAAAATAGAAGGAATGAGGACCATAAATTGTCATAAGTTTATAAATTATTATAATAAAGATATATTATTTATTTATTTTAAAAAGGCTTCAGTTTGGAAGCTGGCTTCTTATCTTCCAAACTCAGGCCTTTCATTTAAAGAAATGATTGTATTATTTTTTATTCACTTTTTGATCTGACGAAATAGATTTTTTCTAATAACTATGAATTTTTATTTAAGATGTAAAAAATTACTTATAATTACTTCATGAAGAAAATATTTAATAAATTTTAAGCTTTTTAAAAACATAAAAGTTAAAAAGATTTATTTTCAAAGATTGATTTATTCATTCGAATTCCAGAGCAAACTATTTAAAGAAACACATTAAAAATAATAATAATAATAATAGTAAGAAAGATTGAATGAAAGAAAAATTAAATATTACGTAGAATGAAATGAGATTAGTAAAGAAGTATCACCAGCTATTATTCTTTATATAAATTTTATTGGGAATCTATTCTAGAAACAAACAGACAATGGAAATAGGAAATGAGATATCATTAAACTGTCACATGCTTCTAAGAAAAGAAATATAATAGAAACAAAACTGTAAAAAATGAATTTAATAAATATTAAACTTAATATAGCAATAAGTATAGCTTATATTCGTTTTATCCAAAACCCAAAAATAGATATTCTTTATATTTTTAATTGGAAAATAATTTTTTTCTTTCCGCCGTATGAGCACTAAGAGGGAAATAATTGGAAAATAATTTCCATTATTAATCGCAATAAAAATATATACTTTGATTAAAATCCAAATGACTTCATTTCTAATATCGAAAAATAACAAACACAATTACAATTTATTTTAAATAATTTTTCAATAATTGTAAATATAATAATATTTTATTAGTTATTTTACTTATATCAAGATTATAGCAATACTTAATTGGCATTTAATATCATATTTATTTTATATTTTCTTGTATGGTCCCGTTTTCCTAATTAACTAATTAATTAGAAAACTTGTTATAATATTTCTCTATTAATTTCAGTTATTTTAACAAGCATTATTCAAGATTTATCGATAAATTTGTTCTGTAAACTTTTGTTACCATCTACTTCTATTGGAGATAAAAATCTTAAAAAATGGATTTAATAGATAAATTTATAGCAAATAAAAAAAATTAAATATAAAATATAATTTATAGTATTAATGTATAATATATTATATATTTTTCTTTATACGTTTTGAATAAATATTAATTTTCTAATCTAAGCGAATCGAAGAAGTTTTTTAAAAGTACTTTTTGACTCAAAATAAGTAAAATTTTTAAATAAATTCATACGAAAATAAGATTTTATAACAATAAATTTTTAGTGTTAGATTAAATATCGCTGTTCTTATTATTGTGTGTTCCTAAAAATAATTTGTTTTAATAAGAATAACTCAAATATTCACCTGGATATCCGTTTGTATTATAAAACCAAGAGATAAATTCTAGTTGAAGAAACACAAATTTCAAAAGTTATTCTATTTTTATGTTACAGATCATTAGTTGCGATGAAAAATCAGATAAATGCTGACTGTAATGAAAGTATTCTCAAAGTTTTTTCTTTTATATTTTCAAATCTTGATTTCAAATTTTGTTCAGTTTAAATATTTAAGTATTCAGAGAATATAATTCTTGATCTATTGAAATATTTAAATTGCAAAATTAGATATTTCTACTTGATGAATTTTTATGGATATCCTCAAACAATAATAATAATAATACATTATTAATACATTATTGAATGTTATGCCTTTTAAATATTTTATTTAAACTTAACTCTAAAAATCATTAAACTGAATTGCTCGAAATTATGCAATTATGCGATTTACATAAGTTCAAAAGTGTTTTATTTATAAGAATCAAAGCCGACAAAGCTATGAATATAAATATGACATATAATTTTTGAACTGAAAAAGTTTATTAAAACAATATAAAATTTAACTTTTATAAATGTATAGGCGAAATATGCCTGATTTAGCTAATGTACTTGGAATTAATTTATAATAGAATTTCTTACAAAATACTAGTTGAATAAAGATGTTATTAAAGGTATTATCAGCTTCTTGCAATATTTAAATATTATTGAAATATTATCCTAAATATATACTTACCTGTCTGTACTCTAAACGCATTTTTCTTTATATTATGAGTAGAAAATTAATTGCATATTAAATTAAAAAACGTTAAAATTAACACATTTCGTCTCCGTGTTAATAAGTAGACTTAATTTAACTTTATCATGATGTGCAATTAAATAAAAACACATTTTTATTTATTTTATTTTTAAATATAATATTTTTTCTTTCTAATATTACATTAGAATTTTTATTTACTCGTTTTTATAACTAATTATTTGCTAAAATATAAAACGGAGGAATTAAAAAGCGCAACAATAATAAAACGGAAACTTAAATATAGACTAAATCAATTAAAATGTAAAACAATACTTCTTTTAAATAAATAATGAATGCAAAATTTTTTTTCAAATGAAAGACAAATTTTTCGTATTTTAGCAAAATGTTAAAATCAAAGTATGATGTAGCTTACCCGAATAACGGCTTCAGAAAAGGGCTGATCGAGTAATTCGCTGCCAACTAGCGCCGAGCGAATGAATGTGACGGAAGAGACAACCACTTCTCTTTTATATCCGCAGAGTGTAAGGGGGCGGCCTGACAGATGAAGAACGGCAGATGAAAGTTTATCGCTTGAACAGATTGTATTTGCATTGCACGCCACACAGGTGACGTGTCCTTAATCCAATTAACACTTTGTCATCTCAACCGCAATATTATCAGTACGTAAGCCAAAAAGATTATCTTCAATCTGCGTTATTTACCAGTGTTTTGAGTTTCCATCCAACTCGAAATTTCATTTTTCATCGATGTTACTTAATGAATATTTAGATAAAATGTAGAGCATATTATCTATTATCTCGAATTAAAATTTTTATCGATAACTACAACTTATCGCTGTATCTATTAAGCATCAACTTGTTTTTTTTTTTATCGATTGATTCGATCGAAATTTTGAATTTAAAGTGTAGCGAGTATTCTTGTTATAGTATCTGTAATCTTAAATGATACGTGAAGTTACGGTTTAGTATAAATATTTTCTTGCCAGAACTTTTCCCAAATAGAAAAAAACACTCGCGAATATCTTTCTATTCGCCGAAAACCGTTTNGATTTGACAGGTGGCTTCGTCTAATTAATTTATAAATAAGCGGTTTTAATTATTTTTTCAGTTAAAACATTCATAGAATGTTTTTGGAACTTTAAATATCCAGTTTATTATTTTAATAAACTCTATAAAATGGTATCGTAAAAAATAAAATTCTTTATGATTAGAATTTACTATTAATCTTTTTCGGTTCTATTAATATTTAGATAATTGAAGATAGGAGTTAATAGACTTCCATGCTAAAAAATACTGTTTCTATATTTTAGTAATGATTTTTATATGTATAATATTGATTTTTAGATACTTTTTTATTCCTCAATTCAATTAATTTTATTTCCTGTAATTTCGCTTTGTTTCTTTGGCAGTTTTCTAATCGTTAAATAGGAATAATTAACGTAGAAATAATAATGTAACGCCTTAATGTAATGACCGCATTAAAATAATTTAAAGTTTTTATCTAATAATAATAATAATTTCTGAATTTCTATTCAGATAGAAAATTTGTCTAATCGTGTGCAATATCGCTAAATAAACATTTTCATACTATTAAATGTTATTTGTTAATAATTTTTCTAAATTTCTAATATTTTTAATATAAATTGTTTAGTTTGTTAGTGTAATAGTGTTAAATCGTTCCGCATCAGATTATACCAAATATATTATAAGAAAGAGATCAGAATACAGTTATGAAACTTTTAAATAGTGACAACTATATAACATACAGAAACTTAGAAAGTTGTCACTCAGAATTTAACAGTAATAAAAATAATAAAATACATTGTATACTATTATGGAATTATTATACTATATTTTTCCCAATATTCAATCTCCTTTTCTATTAAAAAACTTAAATTTCGAAATTTCTAAAATATATTTTCTTCTAAATAAACTGTCTCATTTGCCTTTTACTTAGCTGATGTCGCTCGAATTTTTTACATGATTTTTTAAACGTGTAACTTATTTCAATCGATTATTTACATGTAATTACTATAATGGCTTGCTTCCTTCACGTTATATTGATATTAGGATAAGAACTCTTTCTGCTCCTACCAGAAATACTTCACGTTTCTATGCTCCTTTCTGACATCTCTACATTTACAATCAGATCTTTCTGCCTCCGTTATTATAAATCTGTTCTTAATATAGAAAATATATACGGAGTACCACACTTAGAAATTTAATTGTAAAAAAACATTATATAAATTATTTCTATAGTTGAATTTTATTGTGTTTTAAGCTTTTTCTGTGTGTTTTGTGCGCTTATTTGTTATTGTTTTAAATTAATTTTAAATTAAAAAATTCTAAAAAATTCCTGGGTGACGGCAAAATCACAATAAAAATACATTAAATTTTTTAATATGTTTGCATATCGAGGAGGACGAGTAGTCTCAAATAAAAAGATGTCTCCACCCACAGACTGTTGTGTTCCTGAGGTGTTGAAGAACAAGATATGAAAACATTCACTGTTTTTTCTGATTTAGGAATATTTTTGTATTTATTAATTAATGTCCTAGCTATTTAATTTATTAATTAAATAAATATTATTTTGCGTCGCATTTTCATAAAATTATCCACAAAAAATTGTTTTGCGATCTATTAAAATTCGAATAAACTTTTATTCATAAAAATGAAATTTAAAAAATTCGAAATGAAAATATAATTTTATAGTTTTTTTACTTCCAGTTTAATATCAAAAGAATTATATCTAGACTATATGTATTTTTATACATTTTTTTCCTGATTTACCAACATATTTTTCTTTCAAATAATTCGATCTCCCAAATGAACGTTAATATTTTTCTATATCACTTTATGTAGGTTTTGGAGACTTTTATATTAAATTAATGAATTTGATCATGTTTTGATATTTCATTTTAGCATCCAATTACTTATATATACACACAAATTATATAGTTTTTCATCAAAGTGGGATACGGAGACAAATTCGGCAATATTAAATCAATAAAAACATTTAATAAAGACTTTTTAGAACAACATTGAGTAAATTTTTTTGATTCTGAAATTTAACCAGTTTAGTTTCATATTTCGATTTTAAAATTTTAAAAAAAAATGTAGTAAAACATTTTAATCCGAAAACCTAAAACTATTATTAAACTAAATATGGATTAAATTATATTATTGTTTAATATACTTTACTACACACTATTATAGGATCATACAATGATAGGCCTACAGTTCTCTTATTTCTTATTCTCTTATAATAAAACTTTTTCTGAATCTATAAAATTATCTATTATTAAAAGAATCCTGTGATAGTCTATTAACATTAAGTAGAAGAAAATGAAAGCTTAAAAAGTACATATTGTTAATATTTAATATATTTCACTTCTCTAAAAATCAATTTACAGAAATTGTTGCCCAATAAAAGCGTAACATAATAAATATGAATTAGAAAATAGATAACAATTTTTATTTTATTATTATAAACAAATACTTTAAAATAATCAAATTATGTTATAGTTTATTTTTAAACTATAATTATAAATTTTGTTGTCATCGTAGAATCCTATCATACAAAATCTACTTATACAAAATACTACAAGACAAAATCCTACGAAGAAATTCCTACTAAGACAAGATCCTACCATCCTAGTTTCCTAACAAAAGAAAAATATAGTGTTCACTTTAACATTTATCCAAGTGCAAAAGAAATCTTTCCATCATTGCATGAGTATATTCATAGTCTATGATGTCTTAGTTTCTTCGTGATGTTTACATCAAAATAAATTAATTCCTTCAAAAGAAACATGTGTAAATCTCACAAAAGTTTCGCAGCAATACGTAAATTTTTCAAGCATAAAAATAAAATATAAATTAAAAATGCGATCTTCGCAATCTTGTGGCAACACACGAAGCTTATAATAGAGCCAATATTGTGCAGTCTACTGTTTAAAATTATTTTTCATGTTTTTTTTTTTTAATTTTATATATATTATTTAAATACCATGTGCATATTTATATAACTTTATGTTATAGAATATGTAAATTTCGGTCTTTAATTTAAAATCATTAAATTAGCGTAACAATGTATGATTATTAAATAATTATTACAGGTTTATATCAAATAGTCTATAAAGTTAATGGTGTTAATGGTTAGTATACAGTTTTTAGTTGAACTTGTAATATAGCTGGGAATTACATAGTAGAAATTGTAGGAATTTACAAAAATGATTCAAAGAATACGAAGCAGTTGTTAGCTTAAAATATAATTAATCGGCAATTTTACAAATTTAAAAAAAAAGACATAATCGTAAACACTGTGCAAACATTTTCGAATTGCATGTTTGGAGATAAAGCTATAATTGGCAAAATGGCAGCAATACAGTCGAAGGTGGTAGGCAATATATGAATGTTCTATATTGGACCACCGGTACAATTTAGGAAAACGTCAGATTTGATATACAGTTTACTCGTATACTGTTGGACATTATTTTCAATAGAATATATTGTCATTAAATTTCGCACTTTTATACTTCGATATTTTGGTATTCGATAGAATACCAAAATATCGAAGTATAAAAGTGCGAAATTTAATGACAATGGTGATTCTGGTTTTCTAAACTGTATGGTAAAGATAATCAGGAAGTTATGATACAATGTATGCGTTGTCAAGATTGGGTTCATCAAGTTTGTGCAAAAGTGGTGCATATTACAAAGATGTTCTCGGCGCTGATTGTGAAGACACTGTTTCCGCGACCAAGAGAAGGATGAATAAATAATGGTCGGGGTTAGAGAAACCACTTTCCGCTACATTTAATTTGCGATCCAATTTAAAACTACAGCGGTCCAATTTTGGAAACAGCTACCTACATTGGACCAATTGACATAATTGGATTAAAATGATTTTAAAGTGACAATTAAAATCCATCGTTACTGAGCCAAGAGACGTTTTACCAGCTTAAACTACGTTCCCAAGTCACATTTTCCTTGTGGAATCCAATATTGAGCTTTTCCCTTACAAAACTTGTATAAATTTAAAGTAAATAATATACAATGTATAGGTTGCTCTAAGAAGGCCCAGATGACGTGTTAACATGTTATGTTGCTGCTGCGTAGCAGATAATACTAAAGTATCTTCACTTGTCACGGATGGGTTGCTGTTTGGAAGTTCTATTGTTGTTCGAAGAACATGCGATTATCTACGTTTATTCAAAGTTCATGAAAGTTAGTCATTGGCAAACTGTTATAAAAAAAAATCTGTCTGAAAAATTATTTCTAGTACATTTAAGAGAGATCATAAAATATTAAGAATATGAATAAAATTACGGAAAAAGTAACCCACTATATGTGAAGAAAAAAGAAACGCCATATTCGTTAGGATTAACATATACTGTATTACTGTTATTAAGGCACTTTGAGTGTTCCTAATGAAGCGTACCGCAATAATGGTGAACTTTATTCAATATAAA